TATCACTTTTAGGCCTGGTGTGGTGGCTAACGCCTGTAATCCCAGCACTTTGGAAGGCTGAGGCAGTGGATCACCTGAGGTTAGGAGTTTGAGACCATCCTGGCCATCATGGTGAAACTTCGTCTCTACTTAAAATACAAAAATTAGCCAGGTATGGTGTCATGTACCTGTAATCCCAGCTACTTGGGAGGCTGAAGCAGGAGAATTGCTTGAACCCCAGAGGTGGAGGTTGGAGTGAGCCAAGATCACGCCACCACACTCCAGCCTGGGTGACAGAATGAGACTTCATCTCAAAAAGACAAAAACAAAGATTTATCACTTTTAAGCTTCCTAGATTTTTTTTTCTTAATAAGCATGTTGGATGGAAATCTTTCCATGTGACAGTGCATATATTCCTGCTTTTGCTCTATTTATTTTTTGGAGACGGAGTTTCACTCTTGTTGCCCAGGCTGGAGTGCAATGGCACCATCTCAGCTCACTGCAACTTCTGCCTCCTGGGTTCAAGAAATTTTCCTAATTCAGCCTCCCGAGTAGTTGGGATTACAGCATGCACTACCATGTCTGGCTATTTTTTGCTTTAAAATTTTTTTTAATTTTTTTATTTTTAATTTTTCTCTTACCCTATGCTGCAGAATCTTTTGGTTTTTAAAAGTATACAATTGATCAGAGAGATCCAAGATGGCCGATTACTAGCAGCTCAGGATTGTAGCTCCCAGTGAAAGCACAGAGAACAAGAGGATGCCACATTTTCAGAAGAATTTTTGTTGCTCACGGACCAGGAGATTCCCAGCAGAGGAGCCCGACGGGTCACCAGCGTGACTTGTGACCGGCGTGGCAGTTCTTGGTGCAGTAAACGGGACTGGGTCCCCTTTTGGTCGACGTTTGGAGCTCCAGGAAGGCAGAGTCACCCATTCAGCTGATTGAAAAAGGGACTCAAGAGGGAAGCCAGACTGGAGATTCCCGGGCAAAAAAGTACCATGAAGCTTAATGCCGCTGTTTTAGCTGGCACAGTGGGTTGCTCAGATTTCAGCGCTGGGAATTAACAAGTTGGACGTTCACTCAGAGACCTAATTTAAAAGTAGGTAATTACAAAGATGACAGGTGGGTGAATTTATAATGATGGGAAGAAACCAGTGTAAAAAGGCTGAGAATACCCAAAATCAGAATGCTTCTACCTCTACATGGGATCACAGTTCCTCATCAACAGGGGAACAAGGCTTGATGAAGAATGAGTGCGTTACACTAACAGAATTAGGCTTCAGAAGGTGGATAACAAGAAACTTCTATGAGTTAAAAGAACATGTTCTAGCCCAATGTAAAGAAACTAAGAACCTTGAAAAAAGGTTTGACAAAATCCTAATGAGAATAGACAATTTAGAGAGGAATATAAGTGAATTAATGGAACTGAAGAATACAATAGGAGAACTCCATGAAGTATGCACAGGTTTTAACAGTCAAATTGATCAAGCAGAAGAAAGGATATCAGAGGTCGAAGACCAACTTAATGAAATGAAAGGAGAAGACAAGATTAGAGAAGAGTAAAAGGGAATGAGCAAAGTCTCCAAGAAATATGGGACTGTGTGAAAAGACCTAATTTACATTTGATAGGTGTACCTGAATGTCATGAAGAGAATGAATCCAAGCTGGAAAATATTCTTCAGGATATTATTCAGGAAAACTTCCCTAACCTAGTAAGGCAGGACAATACTCAACTCCAGGCAATACAGAGAACACCACAAAGATATTCCTCAAGTAGAGCAACCCCAAAACACATAATCATCAGATTCACCAGGGTTGAAATAAAGGAGAAAATTCTAAGGGCAGCTAGAGAGAAAGGTCAGGTTATCCATAAAGGGAAGCCTATCAGAATCTCTCAGCAGAAACCCTACAAACTAGAAGAGAGTGGGGGTCAATATTCAATATCCTCAAAGAAAAGAATTTTCGACCCAGAATCTCATATCCAGCCAAACTAAGCTTCATAAATGAAGGAAAAATAAAATATTTTGTGAACAAGCAAGTACTCAGAGATTTCATCACCACCAGGCCTGCTTTACAAGAGCTTCTGAAAGAAGCATTACACACAGAAAGGAACAACTAGTATCAGTCATCCCAAAAACTTACCAAAAGGTAAAGGGTATCTCCATAATGAAGAATCTATATCAACTAATGGGCAAAATAGCCAGCTAGCGTTAAATGACAATATTAAACTCACAGATATCAATATTATCTTAAATTTAAGTGGATTAAATGCCCCAATCAAAGACACAGACAAGCAAATTGAATAAAAAGTCAAAACCCATCAGAACACTGTATCCAGATTCATCTATAAGCAAGGACACACAAAGATTCAAAACAAAGGATTGGAGGAAGACTCACCAATCAAATGGAGAGCAAAAAGGAAAACAAGAGTTGTAACTTTTGTCTCTGACAAAATAGACTTTAATAGTAACAAAGACTAGGCCGGGCGTGGTGGCTCATGCCTGTAATCCCAGCACTTTGGGAGGCCAAGGCGGGTGGATCATGAGGTAAAGAGATTGAGACCATCCTGGTCAACATGGTGAAACCCCGTCTCTACTAAAAATACAAAAATTAGCTGGGCATGGTGGCCCGCGCCTGTAGTCCCAGCTACTTGGGAGGCTGAGGCAGGAGAATTGCTTGAACCCAGGAGGCAGAGGTTGCGGTGAGCCGAGATCGCGCCATTGCACTCCAGTCTGGGTAACAAGAGCGAAACCCCGTCTCCAAAAAAGAAAAGAAAAAAATAGTAACAAAGACTAAAAGAAACAAAGAAGGATATTACATAATGGTAAAAGAAGCAATGCAACAACAGGAGTCAATGATCATAAATATGTATGCACCCAACATAGGAGCACCCAGATATATAAGACAAGTTCTTAATGACTTATAAAGAGACCTGGACTCCCGCACAGTAATAGGAGGAGACTTTGACACCACATTGTTAATATTCGATGGATCAATGAGATAGAAAATTAGCAGGGACATCTATGATTAGAACTCGGACCTGGAACAAGTAAACTCAGTGAATATTTATAGAATTCTTCACCCCAGGTCCACAGAACATACATTTTTCTCAGTATCACATTACACCTATTTTGAAAGTGACCACATAATTGGAAGTAAATCATTCTTCAGCATTTGCATAGCATTTCACAGACTTAAATGAAATATTGGTTGGCTGTTTATTTTCTTTCCTTATTCTTTCCTGTCTCCACTGTTAAGCACAATTATCGGCATAAAAGAGGTTTTTAATACCCAAAAAAAAAAGTATACAATTAAGTAAATTTTAGTATATTTACAGAGTTATACAGTTATCACTATAATTTAATAATCTGCCTTTGCTTTTGGTGATGCTCTTGGTAACTGAAGGTCATGTGTTTAATACTCATAGTGTGTGGTTAGACATTGATTTCCTTTAGGGGAACTGAGGTGTAAAGTTCATCCTCCTCTTCCACTGAACGTGAGTGATTCATACTGTCACACTGTCATTATTCCTGCCCAAGACAGTCCTACCAAGGTTCTCCTGTTGTACTTTTATCTTTGCTTATTTGGAAATTAGACAGCCAGGCTTGTTAAAATTGTGTAGAATATAGCATGATACATGGGTCTTACTTCATTAACTTTTTTTTTTTTGAGATGGGCTCTGTAGCCCAGGCTGGAGTGATTTCGGCTCACTGCAACTTCCTCCTCTTGGGTCCCGGTTTAAGCTGTTCTCCTGCCTTAGCCTTCCAAGTAGCTGGAATTATAGGAACGTGCCACCATACCCAGCTAGTTTTTATATTTTTGGTGGAGATGGGGTTTTGACATGTTGGCCAGGCTGGTCTTGAACTCCTGACCTCATGATCCGCCTGCCTCGGCCTCCCAAAATGTGGGGATTATAGGCGTGAGCCACCGCGCCTGGCCACTTCATTAACTTTTTGAAATAATTCATATAGCTTACAGTTTAACCATTTAAACATACAATTCAGTAGTTTTTAGTCTGTTTACAGAGTTGTACAATTAACACCATGTTAGAATATTTTCTTCATCCAAAAAAGAAACTGGTATCTATTACAGACATTCCCTATTTCCTTCTAGCCCTAAGCAACCAGTATATTGCATTCCCATTTTTTTTGTGTGTGGCTTCTTCAGGACTTTTTTTTCCTGCTAAATGGTACAGCTCCAGATGGATGAAGTATTATCAGAAAGCTAGCTAGCCTCTACTGAAAGCTCAACATACTGATATGTTTTCTTTGTTACACCAGTAAAATATTTGCATTTGACCGCACTTGAGGGAAAATGAGACCTAGCATTTCTGTGGCTTTCTCTTAAAATTGTTGCATAAATGAAAGGCTTTAGGGAGACTGTCTCTCAAGGTAATAATTATTTCTTGACTTGCAGTGAGTGTAATTACAGCCATTTCATATGTATGTCATTTAATATAGGATTCGTGGAGAAATGAATGATTGCCAGGGATTTATTGCATATTTACCTGCTGAGCTCTTTGCTAATGGTTTTGAAGAATGTTAAATAACGGAATGTGATCAGTTCTGCTGTCAAGTCACTCACATTCCGAAGGGGCACATATAATATTCATTACCACAGAGTTAAGTGCTATAATTTGCAATTCAGAAAAATAAGAGATTATTATGGACTGGAATAGTTGAAGGGAGGCCTCATGGAAAAGGGAAGTATTTGCAAAAGCAAAGAGGGTGCTTGAAGACACACCAAAAAAGAGTAAGCATGAAAGTCATAGAAATATACATGTGACTGAGGAAAATGGAATTTCAAGTTTGTTTTAATTTTTAGCTAGAGGTAAAGAGACCGTAACAGAATGATCTTAAAGAAAATTAAATTCCCAGTACTGAATTTTCTTATTTTATGAACATTTCTAAAAAAGTAAACTTGAATTTATTTATATGCATAAAGGTGTCCAAACTTTTATATACTTTGTGGTATTACTTTAGAATTTATTAAAAATAATCTACTTAAAACATGTTTTTCAGCCGCCTGTCTTGGTTAGATGGCTCCGGATTAGGATTCTCGCTGGAATACCCCACCATTAGCTTACATGCATTGTCCAGGGACAGAAGTGACTGTCTGGGAGAGCACTTGTATGTTATGGTGAATGCCAAATTTGAAGGTATGTATGGTGTAATTTAATCTAATGCTTCCTTTGATAGCAAATTATATTTTAAAATTAAAACAGTCTTTGACGCCGGTACAGTGGCTCATGCCTGTAATCCCAGAATTTTGGGAGGCCGAGGCAGGTAGATCATGAGGTTAAAAGGTCCATCCTGGCTAACACAGTGAAACCTCGTCTCTGCTAAAAATGCAAAAAATTAGTCAGGCATGGTGGCACACACCTGTAGTCCTAGCTACTCAGGAGACTGAGGCAGGAGAATCAGTTGAACCTGGGAGGCAGAGGTTGCACTGAGCCGAGATCGAGCCACTGACCCCAGCCTGGGCAGCAGAGCAAGACTCCATCTCAAAAAAAAAAAACAAAACCGGAAGTCTTCAATAATAATCAATGATGTAACGCTGAAGTCATTGACTCATTTTGGATAATAGTTTATGATGCAAAATTTCAGCACAGCAGCTTGGACACTTGAAGTTTTCATAATGGACATTCTTGTGTATCTGTATATATCTTCTATATATTTACACTTAGAATTCTTCATTTATTATGGATATATATTTTTAACTTTTCCTTTGAAGTTTAACTGTTTATTCTGTCTTTCTCTTTTTTTTTTGAGTCAGAATCTCACTGTGTTGCCCAGGCTGGAGTGCAGTGATGTGATCTTGGCTCACTGCATCTTCCACCTCCTGCGTTCAAGTGATTCTCCTGCCTTAGCCTCCCAAGCAGCTGGAACTACAGGTGCATGCCACCACACACAGCTAATTTCTGTATTTTTAGTAGAGATGGGGTTTCAACATGTTGGTCAGACTAGTCTCGAACTCCTGACCTCAGATGATCCACCTGCCTCTGCCTCCCAAAGTGCTGGGATTACAAGTGTGAGCCACTGTGCCCAGCTGTCTTTCTCTTTTTATTTTTTTTGAGATGGAGTTTCGCTCTTGTTACACAGGCTGGACTGTAATGGTGTGATATTAGCTCACTGCAACTTCCGCCTCTTGGGATCAGGCAATTCTCCTGCCTCAGCCTCCCGAGTAGCTGGGATTACAGGCACGCGCCACCATGCCCAGCTAAGTTTTTATATTTTTAGTAGAGACGGGGTTTCACCATGTTGACCAGGATGGTCTCGATCTCTTGACTTCGTGATCCACCCACCTCGGCCTCCCAAAGTGCTGGGATTATAGGCATGAGCCACTGCGCCCGGCAAGACACCCTTAGAGGCTTGGTTCAGTAGACCCTGTGCTTCTGAGAATTTAAGATAGAACGGTTTTGTTTTGTTACAATAGTAGTTCTCAGTGTGTAGGAGGGATATATTTTCCATGGGTCTCCACTGACCTCACCATTCCCCCACATTTAGCAGTGACATTTGGTTGAAAGAGGACGGGTATTATTGGCCTCTAGCAGTTAGATGCCAAGGATGTTTTTATTATACTAAACATTCTACCATGTGCAGGATGGTCCCCTACAACAAAGAATTATCCATCCAAATGTCAGTAGTGCCAAGGTTGAGAAACTAGGATATAAAAATTCCCAAGTTCTGCTTTGGGATAACTGCAAAGACTCAAAAATTTAGTGGAAATGTTCATGTTTGAAATAATGGGTTGCTTTTCTTTGAAGTAGTGTATAAGAGACAATCCCATCAGTTTGCCTGTAAGGCTATTGCTCTTTCAAATTGGGATTTTAATATGGTGTCAGATATAATATGATCATTTATGTTCAGTTGTGACACAATTTAGTAATTTTCAGGACTTTTGGCAAGCCCTGCCTCATTAAGTGGTAACAACTGATTCAGCTATCTGAAAATATTTTTGTTATAAGATTTCAAATTCTTGCCATTGGAAAAGGTTCAAAGACATAAAAATCTAGTGAAGTTTGAAGAAGAGGTTGAGGAAAAGTAAAAGGCTGTTAACCTTGGGGTGTAGTAAGACTTCCTTATAAGGTATTAGGCACAAAATTTACTCTCCATCTAAGTAAATGTAACTATGATTTTATAACTAAGAATATTATCTGTCATGTTTAGTTTAAAGCATTCATTCATTTGTAGAAATGCAACACCTTAGAGATACTCTTGTCAGTCAGCTCCAAATGCTGGTGTGAAATGCCCCTAAATAGTGTTGGGCATTGGAGCTGGGAAAGGTACATGTCAAGAGAAAGGCTAGGAAATAGGGTTTCAAAAATACTAGCCGAAGGGCGAAGCACATTGAATAAGAAAACTGTCGTTAGGCCAGGTGCAGTGACCCACACCTGTAATCCTACCACTTTGGAAGGCTGAGGCAGGTGAATCACCTGAGGTCAGGAGTTTTGAGACCAGCCTGGCCAACATGGAGAGACCCTGTCTCTACTAAAAACACAAAAATTAGCTGGGTGTGGTGGTGGGTGCCTATAATCCCAGCTGTTTGGGAGGCTGAGACATGAGAATTGCTTGAACCCAGGAGGTCGAGGTTGCAGTAAGCTGATCATGCCACTGCACTCCAGCCTTGGTGACAGAGCAAGGAAAGGAAAGAAAACTCTGTCATTAACTTGCTAGGCAAATCATTTGCACCTCTCTGACCTTAATTTTATCCAAAAAGTTGAAGGAGTATATTAGTCTCTAGTTCCCAAACTCAAGACTAATGGATACACGTTAGAAATATGTGGGAAGTTTGTTTAAAATGCAAATGCTGTAAGTCCTAAACTAGGAAAAAGCAGTTCAGTAGGTTTTAGGGTGTGTGTTTTAAATATGTGCTTTATAATCATACAGAGTCAGTATGATTATTTGCTTGTAATTGATGTAATTATGATTAATTTCTTAGTAAGGTATGCAGGATTTCCTATTAATTTTTAGTGTCTTCCTGGGTCACATTTATTTCACTAATTCTCCAGTTCTTTTTATCTTGAACTCCTCTTATAATTACACATGCTTAAATAATATTTTCCCAGCCTTGTTCTTTGCATTCTCATTCTCCAAGCTCTAAGATTTTTTTTTTCTTTGGCATACCACCATAGTCTCTTTAAAAGTGACCATCAGGGCCAGGCACAGTGGCTCACATCTGTAATTCTAGCATTTTTTTTTTTTTTTTTTTGAGACGGAGTCTTGCACTCTTACCCAGTGCAATGGTGCAATCTCAGCTGCAACCTCCATCTCCTAGGTTCAAATGATTCTCCTGCCTCAGCCTCCTGAGCAGCTGGGATTACAGGTGCCTGCCACCATGCCCAGCTACTTTTTGTATTTTTAGTAGAGATGGGGTTTCGCCATGTTGGCCAGGCTGGTCTCGAGCTCCTGACCTTGTGATCCACCTGCTTCAGCCTCCCAAAATTGTGGGATTACAGGTGTGAGCCATTGCACCTGGCCATAATCCCAGCAGTTTGAAAGGCCAAGACAGGAGGATCACTTGAGCCCAGGAGTTCGAGACCAGCCTGGGCAACAGAGTAAGACCCCATCTCAAAAAAAATAAATAAATAAAATTAGCAGGGTGTCATGGCAAGTGCCTGTAGTCCTAGCTGCTTAGTAGACTGGGGTGGGAGGATCGCTTGAGTCTGAAAGGTTGAGGTTGTCCAGTCTGGGCAACAAAACAATTCCCAGTCTCAGAAAAAGAAAAGATGACTATCAGCTCATTGTTGATGAAATCAGATTACCTTAAAAATAATCTTAAAAATTCATTCCCAGCCAGGCGCGGTGGCTCACACCTGTAATCCCAGAACTTTGGGAGGCCGAGGCAGATGGATCACAAGGTCAGGAGATTGAGGCAAGGCTTTTCTAGGAGGCCAAGGCGGGTGGATCACGAGGTCAGGAGATCGAGGCAAGGCTTTTCTAGAAGGCTTACTGAATAAATCAGGATTCCTTACACACACACACACTGTCTCTCTCTCTCTCTCTCTCTGTCTCTCTCTACCCAGTGTGTCAGTAACCTAACCAGAGTGTGTATGTGTGTCAACCATAATTAGAAATAAAAATTGAATTGCGATATTCAGATTTATCAGTATGTTTTGTTTTTTTTAAAGTCAAATAATGACATTAAAAAGGTATTTTTATTTTCTAGAAGAATCAAAAGAATCTGTTGCTGATGAAGAAGAAGAAGACAGTGATGATGATGTTGAACCTATTACTGAATTTAGATTTGTGCCTAGTGATAAATCAGCATGTGAGTGTTCTATGGGTATTGATTCTTCTGCTTTTATGTACCAAGCATTCCTGATTCACACACACACACACCCACACACACACACCCCTTTCTCACCTTTACCACCATTACCTCCATTCTATTGCTTTTTCTTCGTTTTAGCATTGGTAATGTTATTGAGGACCAAATACCTATTAATCTCAAAGGTTGTGAATGTAGTAAGAATATTGTAGACACTCTATTATCTGGGTATATTTTGTGAATGGACTCTGGTTAGTTTTACTGATTGGTGCTGTTGACTGAATCTCACCTGCTGGAGACATAGCAGTTTTAAAGTGGAAGATCTCAGGATGGCTGGAAAGAGCCCAGTCAGCTGAGAGGAGCTTCACCTTGATACCAGTATGACCACAACTCTGACCCTTTTTTCTTGGAAAATCCCATGAGCCATGCAGAAATTGCAATAATCTCTTGTAATGAACTCTTACTATTTTATGTCTTGTCATTTGCTTCAATTGCTTTAAAGATTGATCTTACAGCTGGGCATGGTGGCTCATGCCTGTAACCCCAGCACTTTGGGAGGCTGAGGTGGCTGGATCACGAAGTCAAGAGATCGGGACCATCCTGGCCAACATGGTGAAACCTTGTCTCTACTAAAAATACAAAATTAGCTGGGCGTGGTGGCGTGCACCTGTAGTCCCAGCTACTCGGGAGGCTGAGGCAGGAGAATCTCGAGCATCTGGGAGGCAGAGGTTGCAGTAAGCTGAGATCATGCCACTGTACTCCATCCAGCCTGGTGACAGAGTGAGACTCCGTCTCAAAAAAAAAGAAAACGAAAAAGATTGATCTTACTTATAATTTGGCAGGTTTTTAAAATAATGGCTTGTATACCCATTAAATTTATTTGCACTAGTGGTTATTTTATTATAAAATTATATTCTACATTGAAAAAAAGATGAGTTACAGTTTAATTTCCTGTTCAGTGGAGGCAATGTTCACTGCAATGTGCGAATGCCAGGCCTTGCATCCAGATCCTGAGGATGAGGATTCAGATGACTACGATGGAGAAGAATATGATGTGGAAGCACATGGTTAGTAAAATGGATTAAAAAAATTTTTTTGTTTAGTGTTTCATTTTAGGCATTTATTTGTATTAAGGGTAGAGGATTACAGTTTTTTATGGGTCTGTAAAGTACACAGTATGGTAAGATTATTATTAAAAGTAAATGACACAGTAGTACAGTTTATGCCAAAGCCCTTTGCAACAGACAAATTTTTGAGGGTAAAAAGTAGAGACTGTTAGGGGGAAGAATGGATAAGTAGAGTATATGGAAGGAAAGAAAATGGATAGTCAGGAAAGTCTTTTAAGCTGAGGCAGCTGCCCCCAGAGAACAAGCCTTCTCTCTCTATACCTTGAGAACCTGGAACATTTATTTTGTTTTATTATTATTATTATTTTGAGAAAGGGTCTCACTCTGATATCCAGTCTGGTGTGCCCTCACTGCACCTCTGCCTCCTGGGCTCAAGTGATTCTCTCAGCTCAGCCTCCTGAGTAGGTGGGACTATTGGCTTGCGCCACCATGCCTGGCTAATTTTTGTGTATTTTTTGTAGAGACTGGCCTTTGCCATATTGCCCAAGCTGGTCTCCAACTCCTGGGCTCAAACAATCCTCTGTTGTTGGCCTTTCTGAATGCTGGGATTTCAGGCATGAGCCACCCTGGCCTGTATCTTTATTTAATGTGTTTCTTCAAACAGCTCACTGCCAAAGTCTTTTCCTTTTCTCAGAACCATACTTCATTTATCTAAGAACTCCTTCCCATTTCCTCCCCAGACCAGAATGCAGTCACTAGCCTGAAGAGTCTTAAAATAGCTTGAAGTGCCTGCTGTTCTCTTTTCTTTTCCCTGCTGGTCTTATGCACACCAATCTGGGTATCCAAAGCTGTTTGCTTCATATGTACCCACTTCCTGGCCTGAGATAAACACATTTCTGGGATTCTCCATCACATACCTAAATATATTTTTATCTTTCTGAGATTTTTGAATGATTTAAAAATTTTTATCCTTTTTGTGTTTTCCAAAATTTATGGTTTTTTAAAAAACAGAGTCTAGCTCTGTTGCCCAGGCTGGAGTGCAGTGGCACGATCACCACTCACTGCAGCCTTGAGCTACCAGGCTAAAGCTATCTCACCCCAGCCTCCTGATTAGCTGAGACTATAGGTGCACACTCCTGCACCCAGCTAATTAAAAAGAAAAGTTTCTTGGGAGAGATGAGGTCTCACTGTATTGCCCAAGCTGATCTTGAACTCCTGGGCTCAAGCAATCCTCCCATCTCAGCCTCCCAAAGTGCTGGGATTATAGACATCAGCCACTGCACCTGGCCCTGATTTTTTTTTTAAGAAAGGAGTATTTTTTTAAAAATAGGCATTTATTCTTGAATAGTGAACTGTGTCTTATGGTGTCGCACCCATGAAGCAGAAATTTAGGATTATGTTTTTTAATTAGAAAAAATCTTCATTATATAAATTAAGTTGTGCTCAAAATTCCCACCTCAGGATAATGTAGGACTCCCTGACCTTAGGAACATGCTTTTTCCTTCTAGTCCCTGGACATGGGATTATTTGGGAATTGCTGTTTACTGGCTCGTTACTTCTTTTGATAATCTTAGAGGGTAGGGACGTTTTCTTTGTATCTCTGTCTTCAGTAGTAGCCTGTACATGTGCTTAAATAAATGTTGAAAACTATCTTCCTGGAAACCTATTTTCACTGTACATTATCTTCAGCAGATGCCTCCTCCCTACCTCCCAGACAAGGTCTTGCTCTGTCACCCAGGCTGGAGTGCAATGGCGTGATCTCAGCTCACTATGACCTCTACCTCCCGGGTATAAGCGATTCTCCTGCCTTAGCCTCCTGAGTAGCTGGTCCACAGGCATGCACCACCATGCCCGGCTAATTTTTGTAGTTTTAGTAGAGACAGGGTTTCAGTATGTTGGCCACCCTGGCAGCAGATGTATAATTATCCATTTTGTTTTTTCTAATTGTTGTATAATAGCTTCGAAGTTTTCTGTTTGTTTAGAACAAGGGCAGGGGGATATCCCTACATTTTACACCTATGAAGAAGGATTATCCCATCTAACAGCAGAAGGCCAAGCCACATTGGAGAGATTAGAAGGAATGCTTTCTCAGTCCGTGAGCAGCCAGTATAATATGGCTGGGGTCAGGACAGAAGATTCAATAAGAGATTATGAAGGTGAGTGTCCTTTCTCAGTGTGATTAGTTAGATGGGCACTTGGCCATTAAGTTAATGGATAGTCATAGAAGTTCTTTTAATAACTCTTAAGAGAAATCTCAGAATTGACTTTTTGTACTATAGGAAGCAGATATAGAATTATATAGTATGGAATTCTTATGTCATTTGTTTTTAGTGATTTTTTTTTCTCATTAGAAAAGTAGTCCTTGTTCATTAAAAAAAAGTTTTTAATGTGCACAGGCAAAGTAGAAGTGAAAAAAATAAAACAAGTATAATTCTAACTGAGAGCTATCCTTTTCTGTTGAATCTCTGTATTAGTTTGCTAGGGCTATTATAACAAAGTATCATACAGGCTGGGTGGCTCAAACAGTAGAATTTTATTGTCTCATAGTTAGGGAGGCTAGAAGTCCGTGGTAGATTATCTCTGAGGGCTGTTGGTTCAGGCGTCTCTTCAGGTATACACACACCTACCAAAGTGAAGAGAGAGACAGATTTTAAGAAATTGACCCACATGACTGAAGGCTGGCAAGTCCAAAATCTGCAGGGTAGGCCTGCAGATTGGAGACCCAGGGAAGAGTTGATACTGCATTCTGCTGCAACAGAAATTCTGCTGGCAGAATTTCTTCTTGCTTAGGGGAGGTGAATCTTTTTCCTTTTGAGGCCTCCAGCCGATTAAGTGAGACCCACCAAACTATCAAGGACAATCTGCTTCACCCAGAATCCACCAGTTTATAAGGCTAATCTCATCTAAAAAACAACCTCCTCAGAAACATCTAGAATAATGTTTGACAAACTGTCTGGGTACCATTGCCTAGCCAAGTTGATGCGTAAATTTAATTATCACATCTTTTTTTTTTTTTTTGAGGTGGAGTTTTGCTCTTATTGCCCAGGCTGGAATGCAGTGGCATGATATTGGCTCACTGCAACCTTTGCCTCTTGGGTTCAAGCAGTTCTCCTGCCTCAGGCTCTTGAGTAGCTAGGATTACCAGCATCTGCCATCATGCCCAGCTAATTTTTATATTTTTAGTAGAGGAGTTTCACCATGTTGGCCAGGCTGATCTTGAACTTCAGGTGATCCGCCCTTCTTGGCCTCCCAAAGTGCTGGGATTACAGGCATGAACCACCATGGCTGGTCCTATCACACCCTTCTTATAAGGACACCAGTCACATTGTATTAGGTCCCACTCTAGTGACCTCACATGAACTTGATTAACTCTGTAAAGCTCTCCAAATAAGATCATATCTGAGGTATTGGAAGTTAGGACTTGGGGAGACATAATCCAAAACACTAAGAGAAATCTTAGAATAAACTCTTTATAGTAGAGGGAGTAAATGTAGAATTATATAGAATAGACATTCTTATGTAATTTTTTGTTGTTTATTTGAGGTAGTGCCTTGCTCTGTCGCCCAGGCTGGAGTGCAGTGGCACGATCTCAGCTCAATCCAACCTCTGCCTCCTGGGTTCAAGCATTCTTCTGCTTCAGCCTCCCAAGTAGCTGGAATTACAGGCATGCACCACCATGCATGGCTAATTTTTTGTATTTTTAGTAGAAATGGGGTTTCACTATGTTAGCCAGGCTAGTCTGAAACTCCTGACCTCAAGTGATCCACTCACCTTGGCCTCCCAAAATACTGGGATGATAGGCATGAGCCACTGCATCTGGCTCTTACGTAATTTTTTAAGTGTTTCTTTTCTGTCTACAAAAATACTTTCTATTCCTAGTCAAAAATTTTGAAAGTATGCTCAGGCAAAGAAGAGAGAGAAAAAAATCAAAAATAATTCTGAGAGGTATTTACTGTTAATTTTCTGTCGCATATTCTTTCAGTTTTATTTGTGTTCTTTTATGTGTATATATACACTAATTATTATTTTTTTGAGACGGAGTTTTGCTCTGTTACCCAGGTTGGTGCATTGTTATGATCTCTGCTCACTACAACCTCTGCCTCCCAGGTTCAGGTCATTCACCCGCCTCAGCCTCCCAAGTAACTGGGATTAACAGATACCTGCCATCATGCCCAGCTAATTTGTTTATTTTTGTAGAGATGGGGTTTTACCACGTTGGCCAGGCTGGTTTCAAACTCCTGACCTCAGGTGATCTGCCCAACCCAGCCTCCTGAAGTGCTGGGGATTACAGGCGTGGGCCACTGCGCCTGGCCATGATTCTGTCATTTTTATTTATTTATTTGAGTCGTAGTCTTAGTCTGTCTCCCAGGCTGGAGTGCAGTGGCATGATCTTGGCTTACTTCAATCTCTAACTCCTGGGTTCAAGAGATTCTTTTGCCTCAGCCTCCTGAGTAACTGGCATTACAGGCATGCGCCACCATGCCTGGCTCATTTTTGTATTTTTAGTAGAGATGGTATTTTACCATATTGAACCAGGCTGGTCTCGAACTTCTTACCTCAGGTGATCCACCCACCTCTGCTTCCCAAAGTGTTGGGATTACAGGTGTGAGCCACCATGCCCAGCCAAGATGTTACCTTTTTTTTTTGAGACGGAGACTTACTCTGTTGCCCAGGCTGGAGTGCAGTGGTACAGTCTTGGCTCACTGCAACCTCTGTCCCCCGGGTTCAAGCGATTCTCCTGCCTCAGCCTCCGAAGTAGCTGGGATTACAGGCACCTGTTATTGTGCCCAGCTACTTTTTGTATTTTTTTTTTTTTACTCCAGTGCCGCCTACTTTTTGTATTTTTTAGTAGAGGCAGGGTTTCACCATCTTGGCCAGGCTGGTCTTAAACTTTTGACCTTGGGATCCACCTAGCTTGGCCTCCAAAGTGCTGGGATTACAGGCATAAGCCACTGTGCCCGGCCTATGTTACCTTTTTTTATTACAGTAATTGCCTAAGGAGTGCCATGTGGACACTTATTTAATGCTTTATAGCAAATGATTTTAAGATTGTAAATACCTTTTTGCTAAATTGAGATTTTTGGATTTTTATTCATAAGCCTCATTAACACATTGGAGTTGCTTATATATAAAAAATTCTTCAGCCTATGCCAGTCTCCATTTCTGAAGTCCTGAGTACCGACATCATTGTTTTTGCCAGTGAAACACTTAGTGTGGCATTTTAGTGCTTCATGTTCTCCTTTATGAAAGAGTTATTTATTGAGCTACTGTACCAGGTACAGATAATTCTGTAGTACTCAAGAGATGAATTTACTGACTTCATATCAATGACATTTTAGTGGAAGAAAAGCTAATGGTACATTGAGATACAGCACTGAGATATAGGAGATGCTTGGGCAGCTGTGGAATCGTAAGGGCTGGGCCCTTTTTCCAGCCTGGAGAGTCAGGAGAAGAGTTAAGCTGCATAGAATAAGTGACATTTAAGTCAAGATCTGAAAGATGTATAGAAATGACCCAAGTAAAGAGGCTGAGAGGGGAGAAGCAGGTAAAGGGATTAGTCATGTGCCAAGAAAGATTCAAGAGACTTCAGATTTGGGGAACTGAAAGTAGTTCAGTGTGAAAGTTAGTTATTATGGTAACAGATAAACTGGGCAGCATCTTAGAGAAACTCTTAGCTCAGTGGGAAGCCGTTGAAGAGTTTGATTAGTGTTTCAGAAGATGTCTGTGGTTGTAATTTGAAAAACTGGAGAAGAAAAATACTGGAGAGAAAAAGAGAAACCCTGTTGTGTGACTTACATATTAAATTAGGTAAGAGGTGATGGCCTAAAATAGGTAGTGGCAGTGAATATCAAAAGACTTGACAGATTTGAGAGATTGAGGAGACAGAAGCAACAGAAGTCGGGGGCTTGGTGTAAGGGTTTCTAGTTTAAATGGATGAGAGGCACCTTTTAGTTAGACTATTTGGAAAAAATGGCATTTTTTATGTGGAAATATGAACAGTTGATTTAAATACGTGTTATGTTTGTATCTGCAGATGGTGGGATGCTCTGGGGCTGTGGGCAGAAGATATTTTGTGGTGGGCCAAAGAGTTGAGGGGTGAATGGGAGGTGGGGAAGTGGAGAAAACAACTGTACACACTTTTTTTTTTTGAGATGGAGTTTCACTCTTATTGCTCATGCTGAAGTGGAGTGGTGCGATATCAGATCACTGCAACCTCCGCCTTCCTGGTTCAACAATTCTTCTGCCTCAGCCTCCCGAGTGGCTGTGATTACAAGTGCCCACCACCACTCCCAGCTACTTTTTTTGTATCTTTAGTAGAGACAGGAGTTTCGCCATTTAGGCCAGGTGGGTCTCGAACTCCTGAAGTTGGGTGATCCACCTGCCTCAGCCTCCCAAAGTGCTGGGATTACAGGTGTGAGCCACTGCTCCCAGCCAAGACAACTTTCATGGGGCTTGTATTAGTCTCTTTTCACCCTACTGATAAAGATATACCCCAGACTAGGCAATTAACAAGAGAAAGAGGTTTAATTGGACTTAACACAGTTCCAAGAGGCTGGGGAGAACTCACAATCATGGTGGAAGGCAAGGAGGAGCAAGTCACATCTTACATGCATGGCAACAAGCAAAAAGAGCTTTTGCAGGAAAACTTCCCCTTATAGTAATCATCAGATCTTGTGAAACTTACTCATTATCATGAGAACAGCACGGGAAAGACCTGCCCCTGTAATTCAGTTTCTCCCACTGGTCCCCCCCCATAACATGTAAAAATTCAAAATGAGATTTGGGTAAGGGGACAGCCGTACCATATGAAGGCTTCTTTTTTTCTTGTTCCCTTCATACCTTTTATTTAATGAGATGACAAAAACAGGGAAATAAGCAAAAAGCTTGCTGTACTGATTTTTGTCTTTTCTCCTGAATTATGTTGTAAGCTTTGTGAGGATAGGGCTGTGTACCTTAAAAGAAAAGAAAAAGCCTAACAGTCAATACTTAGAACAGGTCTGTAAAGAATGAACAATTGATACTGTATCTGAAAGTTCCTACATAGAGTTGTTTTAGTATTGAGGTTGAAAATTTACACAGTAAATGTTATAGACTGATTTTCTTATGGCCTAACTCCCTAGGTAGCATTTTCTTTCTCTGTCCCTTGAGACTTCTCTTTTCAAAAAAAAAGAGAAAAGAAGCAACTCTTAGCAGCAGAGGGCACTAGCTTCCTTCTGATAGAAGTTATAAGTTGAATCTACCTTTCTAAAGTGTTCATAGGGTATTGTTCAGTAATTAATTTTTTTGTTTAGATGGTATGGAGGTGGATACCACACCAACAGTTGCTGGACAGTTTGAGGATGCAGATGTTGATCACTGAAAATGATATATGCAGATTTAAGGTAAGTAGTTCATTTTCTTCCTTGTCACTGAACATGAAAATCATGTGAAATGATTACTTTCTACTTTTTTTTTCTTTTTTGAGACAGGGACTTGCTCTTTCACCAAGGCTAGGATGCAATGGCATGATCCTAGCTCACTGCAGCCTTGAACTCTAGCAGTCCACTGGCCTCACCCTCCCAAGTAGCTAGGACCATAGGCATGCACTGCCACACCCAGCTTATTTTAAAATTTTTCACAGAGAGTCAGGGTCTCACTGTGTTGCCCAGGCTGGTCTCAAATTCCTGTCCTCAAATGATTCTCCCTCCTGGGCATCCCAAAGTACTGGGATTACAGGTGCGAGCCACTGCATCTGGCTTGTTTCTTTTTCCTTCTTTAAAAAATTTGTTTTTCTTTTAAATCTCAGGTTTTTAGATGATGTCCCTGACAGTTTATTTGCTACTTCATTATTCTGAGAAATATATTGTCCTTTGCCAGCTTAAGTATTTCAACTATGTGTTAGATAATAACTGAAGGTCATATTCATATCAAACAGAGCTAGGACTAGTAGTTGTAGTAGTCCTTTATAAGCTGTTGTTAAATTGTTGTCCCTGTTTCCTCACTACAACCTCCTCCTACCTTATCGCATTGTTTTCTTGAATATTGGCTGTCCTCCAGTCTTTGAGATGCTCTTGCTATCGTCCTTTTGTTTTATTAAAGCATATAGTAATAGCACAGCAAGATTTATATATTTGACTTGACTCTGCCACCACTATCAGTCATCCAGTTAAGTTAGGAGATCCCTTGTTATTCTCTGCAATGATAAGTATTTCAGAATCCCTTCTGTTTTCTTCTGGTACAGATTTTAGTTCTGAACCTAGTTCTGTAATCATTGGCTTTTCTCTAGTTACAAGTTTTAATTCCTTTATCCCTGTTTCTATTTTGTTTCAGAAACCAGCCTTTTAAAGTTCCAGTTAGCTTCCAAGTTACTTACATTGTGAAAACTGTATAACATTGCTTCTTAGACAGGTGTGGTGGCTCACACCTGTAATCCCAGCACTTTGGGAGTCTGAGGCGGGTGGATCACATGAGATCAGGAGTTTGAGACCAGCCTGGCTAACATGTTGAAACCCTGTCTCTACTAAAAATACAAAAAATTAGCTGGGCGTGGTGGCGGGTGCTTGTAATCCCAGCTACTAGAGAGGGTGAGGCAGGAGAATCGCTTGAACTCAGGAGGTAGAGGTTGCAGTGAGTCAAGATCGTGCCGTTGCACTCCAGTCTGGGCAACAAACTGGAGTGCAACCACACTCCAAACACACACACAAACAAACACATCTCAAACAAAAACAAAAACATCTCTTCTTATATTAATCATGAATTGTGATAATTGGACCTCTGCCATCTTCTCATGTCCTGCTAATGAAACTATCAGAAAAGAACCTCTTAGAGTTCTATGATTTATATCTTCCCCTAAATACTTAATTTTAATTTCCACATTTACATATGTCAGTGGTAGCCTGTCAGTGGTAGCCGTACAGTCTAAAATCAGTAATGTCTCATCTGTTAAAATCATTTGTTGATGTCACTGGAGCTCTGTTAACTTTGATTTTTAGCGCTCAGTTCCAGTTTTCAGTAACTTCACTGTTCTATTTCATGGGAAATCTTTTGGTACCAACTTAGGTCTTTTTTCCTTATTTCTCATCACATTATAGCATATTAATTTTTTCAGTTCAGTGATGCTTGTTTAGTAACTTTTATTGAAATTAAAAAACAGATTTTTTTGAAGAATAGGCTGTTTAGAGAACATCGGCCACTCTGTTATTAATCAGAATCATGAGAAACTCATTTGGTATGTCAAAAACAGTTAAGCAAATGGGATGTTACTGTAGTCCTTGGCAAGAATTCTTACGAGTTTTTTTAATGGTGAAATAGCCAGAAACTTTTTAATTAGCTTTGTTTTCTGTTAATTTTATCCTAGAGCTCAGAGGCAGAGAGAGATTCTTTTATTCATAATTTTTTTGTTTGTTTGTTTTTGAGACGGAGTCTTGCTTTGTCACCAGACCTGGCCCTAATTTTGTATTTTTAGTAGAGACGGGTTTCACCATTGGCCAGGCTGGTCTTGAACTCTCCTGACCTCAGGTGATCTGCCTGTCTCGGCCTTCCAAAGTGCTGAGATTACAGACAATGAGCCACTGCACCCGGCCGTGTAAATTTTTACTCATTTAAAATTGTACCTGCCTTTAAAGAATGAACAAGGAATAAATAATTAGAGTAGCTGGGCATGGTGGCTCAGGCCTATAATCCCAGCACTTTGGGAAGCTGAGGAGGGCAGATCGCCTGAGGTTGGGAGTTCCAGAGTAGCTTGACCAACATAGAGAAACACTGTCTCTTTTAAAAACACAAAAATTAGCCAGTCTTGGTGGCACATGCCTGTAATCCCAGCTGCTTGGGAGACTGAGGCAGGAGAATTGCTTGAATCCAGGAGGCAGAGGTTGTGGTGAGGTGAGATCGCACCATTGCACTCTAGCCTGGGCAACAAGAGTGAAACGCTGTCTCAAAAAAGAAATAATGATAGAGTAATTTATGCAACCATTAATAATTTCAGGATAATGGAACTAGGATTTCTCAATGAATGAGGTTGGGTGGAGACAGCAGTGAATATGGTGATGGTGGACTCATAACTCTACCATATACTTGTGTATACCTCTGGACAAGGCATATAACTTATTTAATCCTCAATTCCTCCTTCTGTAAAATGGGGAGGAGAATAACTGTCTCGCAGGGTTGTTGCAGAGGCTGAGATAGAATATACCTAAGTCCTCTGGCGCTCTTGACTAGGCATTCAGTAAATAATAACTATTATTATTATTACTGTTGTAAACACTGTGAACTTTGTGTTTTTCAGATTCTGCTCCTAACTATAGGAGAGAACTTGGTGCCTCTTCCACTCTGGAGCGAAGTTGATGAAAATCTTTTTCCTTTTCCAAAACCCAACCTGAACCAGTTCTTTCTTGAGACAGATTATACTGAGACAAGTTGTCACCAGCAGAACATAGATAATCTGACCTTTATTAACTTGATGAATTAACTTAACCAAGAGGGTATTTATAGTTGATTATTTACCCCAAAACTTTCTGTGTCTGGGTACCCTCTGAGTAGGCCTATAATTCCTGCCTTCACTGTATCCATCTTCTGTAAGCTAGCAGATCCATCTGTGTGGTGAAAATGCACAGGAGCGTGGTGTAGGTAGACTGGGTGGGAAAGAGAGAGCTCCTTTCGCCATGTTTTACTAGTCTGCTCTGTTATAACCTCTTAGGTTATATCCTTTAATTTCCAACCTTTTAGGTTAGTTTCTGTAACAGAACAAGTGAGTCTGGGATGAAGTCCTCAGAGTACTTCAAGTGGTAATTGTTTTGTTTTTGTAATAGCTTAACAAATAAACCTAGGTTTTCTATATTGCTGTGCTCTCTTATTCTTGACTAAAGCCATTAATGAAAAATGTTTTTTAAGAAATAATGCTGGGGAATATGAAAATTTTGTTGGTTTTACTTTTGTTTACTTGTTGAGAACATGAACATGAAATTAATAAGAAAATATATAGTTAGAGTTTCTGGCAAGTATTTAGTAAGGCAAAGATTTAACATATTCAGGAGATTTCTGCCACTTCCTTTTGGATTAGGAGTAATTTCTTCTATTTATCAACTCTCAATTTTGAGTTTGGCTGATTTGTAATTACTGATTTATACTTGGACTTTTCATACCATTATATGGTCTTAAAAATAAGGTTATCTAAGCTAACTTTATTACCAGAATCACTTGGCTAACTAGTGACTAAACTGAAGTTTGGTACCACTCAGCCCATTGTTCATTTCAGCACTGTCACTTGGTTTCCCTCATCTTGCAGGGTAGACTGAAAAAAAAAACTAATTTTCCTTTTTCTAATCAGACTTTCAGAAATTGAGTCTGTTGGCCGGGTGCAGTGGCTCACGCCTATAATCCCAGCACTTTGGGAGGCCGAGGCGGGTGGATCACAAGGTCAAGAGATCGAGACCATCCTGGTCAACAAGGTGAAACCCCGTCTCTACTAAAAATACAAAAATTAGCTGGGCATGGTGGTGTGTGCCTGTAGTCCCAGCTACTGGGGAGGTTGAGGCAGGAGAATTGCTTGAACCCAGAAGGCGGAGGTTGCAGTGAGCCGAGATTGTGCCATTGCACTCCAGTCTAGGTAACAATAGCGAAACTCCGTCTCAAAAAAAAAAAAATTGAGTCTGTTAACAATAGGCAAGTTAAAGAGCCACTTGGAAACAAAATTACTGAGACCTTCTCTGTACCAGCCACTGTCCTGAGTTCTTTATTATGTATTATAATATTCTTAATTGCCCTATGAGATATACTTTTATCCCACTTCATAGTTGAGGAAGCTGAGTATAGAGGTGAAATAACTCACTTAAAGTCATGTAGTGAACTGTGATTTTTGAGCCTGTGCTTTAAAATGTCATACAGCCAGGCCGGGTGTGGTGGCTCACACCTATAATCCCAGCACTTTGGGAGGCTAAGGTGGGCAGATCAGGAGGTCAAGAGATTGAGACCACTCTGGCCAACATGGTGCCCTGTCGCTACTAAAAATACAAAAATTAGCTGGGCATGGTGGCGCGTGCCTGTAGTCCCAGCTACTCAGGAGGCTGAGGCAGGAGAATCGCTTGAACCAGGGAGTCAGAGGTTGCAGTGAGCCGAGATTGTGCCACTGCACTCCAGCCTGGCAACAGAATGAGACTCCGTCTCAAAAATTAAAAAAAAAAAAAATTGTCATACAGTCTTACCATCTACCAGCAGCAGAAACCATGCACGCTCCCTACTGCTACAGGGTTTTCAACGTTAATATTTCAATGGCCAGTACAAGAGCTCCCCAAGTTTCTCTGCTACCCATCTGCGCAACATCTATAATTCTATACTAAAAGTTTGCCCATTCTGCAGTCAGGATATTCTCACAGGTTAATATTAGAAATTCTATTCCTTTTAAAAGGAATAAATTTATAATTGTGAGTTTCCATGAAGCATCAAATGCTCTGATAGCAAAATGTCGAGATTCAGAGCATACTCTTTCTTGGTGTTGCTGTGGTCAATGCAGTATGCAAAAAGGCAGGAGACCAAGCATGTGGGCACCTCTTTGGGCCTATTTACTCATCTGTAAAATGAAGGGATTAGACTAAATGAATTTTAAAGGTTCAGTGGTAACATTCTGTAATACTAGATAGTTGGAACCATAGCTTTGAGAAGATAGAAGCTGAGAAAAAGGACTAGGTCAGGCTTTTAAAAGATAAAATTTATAATGACCAGACAGACAATATTTATTGATTCCATTTGAGCCTAATTTTAGGGTTGCTGGAATTGTTTTCTTTGTGTGTTCCTGATGTAGAGACACTTTTTTTTTTCTTTGTGTGTTCCTGATGTAGAGACACTTTTTTTTTGAGACAGTTTTGCTCTTGTTGCCCAGGCTGGAGTGCAATGGTGTGATTTGGCTCACTGCAACCTCCGCCTCCCAGGTTTAAGTGATTCTCCTCCCTCAGCCTCCCAAGTAGCTGGGATTACAAGCATGTGCCACCATGCCTGGCTACTTTTGTATTTTTCATAGAGTCGGGGTTTCTCCCTATTGATCAGGCTAGTCTTGAATTCCCAACCTCAGGTGATCCACCTGCCTCAGCCTCCCAAAGTGCTGAGATTACAGGCGTGAGCCACCACTCCTGGCCTGTAGAGACACTTTAAAGGTATATAGATACTTCCACTCCAAAATGTAAGCTGTCTAAATGTTCCTAAAAGCCAGGGTTAGTGGTTCTTTAGGTTCTGTCATTTAAAAAATGTATTCATTAAGATATGGTCCCACCTGTAATCCCAGCACTTTGGGATGCCAAGATGGGCAGATCACTTGAGGTCAGGAGTTTCGAGACCAGCCTGGTTAACATTGTGAAACCCTGTCTCTAGTGAAAATATAAAAATTAGGCATGTTGGTGGACACCTGTAGTCCCAGCTACTCAGGAGGCTGAGGCACAAAATCACTTTAACCCATGAGGCAGAGGTTGCAGTGAGCCGAGACCAAGCTTGTTTAAATTCTTATAGGGGCCTGGTATGGTGGCTCACGCCTTAATCCCAGCACTTTGGGAAGCCAAGGCAGGTGGTGGATAACCTGATGTCAGAAGTTAAGACCAGCCTTGAACTGGTGAAACCCTGTCTCTACAAAAATTAGGTGTGCTCCTGTAATCCCAGCTACTTGGGAGGCTGAGGCAGAAGAATTGCTTGAACCCAGGAGGCGGAGGTTGCAGTGAGCCGAGATTGTGCCATTGCATGCCAACCTGGATGAGAGAGCAAGACTCCATCTCAAAAACAAACAAAAAACCTATAGGTATGTATTTTTGAGGTTCTGTTGGGAGCTTCCTCAATATTGGTAAAGGTGAGAGATTATGTGCAGATGATTATAAGATACAGTTGAGTATATTAGGTTGATTACTAATCTGAAATCTGAAATTCCCCAAAATCTGAAACTTTTTGAGTGCTAACATGATGCTCAAAGGAACTGCTCATTGGAGCATTTTGGATTTCAGATTTTTGGATTAGCGATGCTTAACCAGTATAATGCAAATATTCTAAAATTTTAAAGTTCCAAAATCTGAAGTTTCTGAGCTTAATAATTTGATTTAGGGGGATGTTTAATCAGTATAATGCAAATTTTCCAAAATTTTAAAATTCCAAAATCTGAAAAACTTCTGATCCTAATAATTTGACTTAAGGGATACTCAATCTGTATAGTCCTTTACTTTTAGAAGACAGGTGGGATTACTCATTGTTCAGAGATAATCAATAGATATTTAGATAGAATTTATCTGCAGGATTTCAGATGTGTTCACTATTACATAGCTGATTCTCATGCAAATCCTATTTTAAAAGTATAGAATGGATGAATCCATATCTTGTATTCATCTTTTGTGACCAGTAACTGAATTCTAAGCATTGTCTCTCACAAAGATACTCATAGAATTATTGCCATCCGTTATAAAGGAGCTAGAATGTATTTTCACTAATATCTCACTCTGTTCATATTTACATGAGTAAAATCAGTCTCTTAAAAACTTCATAATTTCAGATGACAAAAATGGATTAGTTTGAGATTATGTGAATCACTCACTAGTACATGTAAAGTACTTAGAACAACAGTGCCTAGGCCGGGCCTGGTGGCTCATGCCTGTAATCCTAGCACTTTGGGAGGCTGGGGCGTGCGGATCACGAGGTCGAGAGATCGAGACCATCCTGGCCAACATGGTGAAACCCCGTCTCTACTAAAAATACAAAAATTAGCCGGGCGTGGTGGCACCTGCCTGTAGTCCCAGCTACTCAGGAAGCTGAGGCAGGAGAATTGTTTGAACCCGGGAAGCAGAGGTTGCCGTGAGCCGAGATTGCGCCACTGCACTCCAGCCTGGCGCCTGGCGACAGAGGGAGACTGTCTCCAAAAGGAAAAAAAAAACCCAACAGTACCTAGAATATAGCTCAATCAGTGGTAGTTGTTACCAATACCAGTAATTCTTTTTGTAGCAGGAAGCAGCAGCTACGAATATATCAACTCACTATTTAGAATACATCTGATTAGCTTGAAGTTTAAAAATCCACTGAGCAATTAAAGTAGACATCATGAAATCTATACATTTTTCTCATAGGACCTCAGGCCTTCACTGCAAATTTCTACTCTTGCTCTACAAACAGGTATAATATACTCGAATAGCTAGTTTCTAGGCACACAGTGGGTTAGACAAGAAGAAAAAGGTGGTTCTATCAATTAAATCAGTAGCAGCAGTAAATAGCTGACAGAATTATGAAAAAAGGCAAATATGTATTTCCACAAAATATAGCAGTCTAAGCCTCTATAGTAAACAGTACAAATATGAGGACAGTTCAGCAAATTTATTTTTTTTTAAGATGGAGTTTAATCTTGTTTCCCAGGTTGGAGTGCAATGGCGCGATCTTGGCTCACCATAACCTCCGCCTCCCTGGTTCAAGTGATTCTCCTGCCTCAGCTTCCTGAGTAGCTGAGATTACAGGCATGTGCCACCACGCCCAGCTAATTTCGTATTTTTAGTAGAGACAGGGTTTCTCCATGTTGGTCAGGCTTGTCTGGAACTCCCAGCCTCAGGTGATCCACCCTTCTCAGCCTCACAGAGTGCTGGGATTACAGGTGTGAGCCACTGTGCCTGGGCCAGTGTAACAATTTATGTTCATAAAGTTATGACCTTGTATCAGCCCAAATTCTGGTTGTAAATTCAAATCTGACTAGTTTAAGCAGAATATTTTTTTTTTTTTTTGAGACAGAGTTTCACTCTTGTTGCCCAGGCTGGAGTGCAATGGTGTGATCTCAGCTCACCGCAACCTTTGTCTCCCGGGTTCGAGTGATTCTCCTGCCTAAGCCTCCAGAGTACCTGGGATTACAGGCATGTGCCAACACACCTGGCTAATTTTGTATTTTTCTAGAGATGAGGTTTCTCCATGTTGGTCAGGCTGGTCTCGAACTCCTGACTTCAGGTGATCCACCTGCCTCAGCTTCCCAAAATGCTGGGATTACAGGCATAAGCCACTGTGCCCGGCCTAGGCAGAAAATTTTTATTAGAAAGCTATTGGATAGCTCACAAAACGGACAGAAAGGTTGAAATTAACCAAGCTCATAAAAAGATGAAGTCTATATAAGATGTTATGATTCCTCTGCTGCTGTTAGACAGATTTCTTGATTGTCCCTGTATTTGTGAGTCACCACACTTAAGAGGGAAACAACTGGTTGGCACTGTGTGCGTTCACATAGTATGGGTCATTCTGCTTCTACAGTGGAAGGTCACTGCCCTGTGCAGATGCTCAGAGGAATGGATTACCCCAGACAGGAAGGATGCTTAGATGCTGGATTGCAAAAAATGTACATCTATCTACTACAACACCAAATCTTAAAAAATAATAAGTCGCTATTCTGTTGCACAAGTGCAGGCATGGAATAAGCAAACAGTTGGATTTAATCAAGTTGAGGCTAAGCTGTGAGTATGATAGAGGAGCAAGGGAGTTAAGGGTGTATGTGTGATGACGACTGGCCAGGTAAGCTGCTTCAGGAGAAGAGGGAACTTGGGTGAGAGATGAGAAAAAGTGGTGTTATCAGTGGACAGAAGTTCTCTGTGGGGGTCAAAGGATCACTGGAGATGGGGTCCTAGAGAGACTAAGCTGGAAAGGGGTCAGTGGTTGGAGAGTGGGGTGTCTGAGTTCATAGAAAATTTCAGTTATTGGTAGTAAGTTCAAGGTTACCAATAAAATTGCAGCTGAGGCAGAGTAGAAGACAAAATTATCAAAGGAGAGAACCAATGAACTCCAAGGCCATGAATCTGGAAGAATCATCTTTGTATCTGTCATCAAGAAGTATAACTGTGGTGGTGTTAGAGAGACAGGAACTACAATTTGAAAGGAACAAAAGGGAATTGAGGAGACTATATACTAGAAGATGGCAACAAGTACCCAGGTAACTGATGACATGTTTTTAATGGAAGAAGCAGAGGAGAAGGGATGGGCAGCAGTAATGAGGACAAGGAAATCTATTCTGCTTCCAGGCATAGTGGTATATAAGGTGTGGGAAAGAAAATAGCCACCACTTGAGAGAGCTGTAGAGGTAGCAGTGTCGTTAGAAGTCACAAACTCCAAAGTCTGATAGGTGAAGTGCAGAGGGCTAGTTCTTTTCATAAATTAATACTGATTTTTCTTTCTTTCTTTCTTTTTTTTGAGACAAAGTCTCACTGTCATCCGGGCTGGATCTTGGCTCAGTGCAACCTCTGCCTCCCAGGTTCAGGCAATTCTGCCTCAGCCTCCTGAGTAGCTGGGATTACAGATGTGTGCCACCACGCCAGGCTAATTTTTGTATTTTTAGTAGAGACGAAGTTTCACCATGTTGGTCAGGCTGGTCTCAAACTCCTGACCTTGTGATCCACCCACCTTGGCCTCCCAAAGTGCTGGATTACAGGCGTGAGCCACTGCGCCCAGCCAATACTGATTTTTCTTAACCCACACAAGTCCTCATGCTAGAGATGTAAAAAGACATATTCCTATAAGGAAAACAGCCATGAAACAGTAAGTGAAACTTAGCCTCATGTTTGCAAGACAGGACCATTTTAAAGGGAGCAACCATTATTTTGTGTTGTATGGCAGAAGGCCTAGTATTGCAAGGACTTTGGAGTTATTTCTAAGAACAGCTGGAACTATGGATTTTACTAAATTTTGACTTTAAAAAATACTGTGCAGGCCAAATAAAATATGTCAGAGTCTGCATTTAGCCATTTAGTTACATTCTGTGAACTCTGCTTTTTAAAATACGAAGCTGGCTGCTTTGTTGGGTAGAGTTGGCAAAAGGCTGCACCTGTTCAGTCTGCAGGTATAAATAGAGTGACTGTCTAGGAGCTGATCACCAAGCAGCACTTAAATTACCTGGCAGCTTCTATCAGTTGCTTGTTAACTGATTATTACTCAAACAGATCACATCTCACCCCATATTTTTTTACTTTGAATTCTAACTCTGATAATGGAATTTCCTTTGAAGGAAATTACACTTAACCTTTCATGGCCTGAACTTTTAATAAAAATTAGACCTCATACAATAAAAGAAGGCTTCTAATATAGTAAAACTTGAAGGTTCTTTAAGCCTCAAAAAATACTAGTTGGGCCGGGCACCGTGGCTCAGGCCTGTAATCCTAGCACTTTGAGAGGCCAAGGCGGGAGGCAGGCAGATCATGAGGTCAGGAGATCAAGACCATCCTGGCTAACATGGTGAAACCCCATCTCTACTAAAAATACAAAAAATTAGCTGGTCATGGTGGCATGCACCTGTAGTCCCAGCTACTCGGGAGACTGAGGCAGGAGAATCGCTTGAACCTGGAAGGCAGAGATTGCAGTGAGCTGAGATCACCACTGCACTCCAGTTTGGGCAACAGAGCAAGACTCCATCTCAAAAACAAACAAAAAACTAGCTAACTGCTAAACAAGTTTTAATGTTGTCATAAAGTATTTAATGTTTTTGTGAACCCTTGATTTCCCTTTAGTCATAATCATGACCCAGAATTTTTGGATTAAAGTCGAAGTCTAGAGATGGTATTTGGCTCTATGTGATCTAAGCCAGGGCAGCAAACCCATCTAGGCTTAGTTTCCTTATCTATAAAATGGAGATTAAAAATACATGCCCTGGCCTGGCTCCGTGGCTCATGCCTGTAATTCTAGCACTTTGGGAAGCTGAAGTGGGCAGATCACGAGGTCAAGAGATGGAGACCATCCTGGCCAACATGGTAAAACCCCGTCTCTACTAAAAATACAAAAATAAGCTGGGTGTGGAGGTGTGCACCTATAGTCCCAGCTACTTGGGAGGCTGAGGCAGGAGAATCACTTGAACCTGAGAGGCAGAGTTGCAGCAAGCCCGTATCACACCACTGCACTCCAGCCTGGTGATAGAGCGATACTTCGTCTCAAAAACCAAAACAAAAAAATGCCCTACTTCATAAGGTAGCTAGCTGTTGGTCCAAAGGAGAATGTGAAAAGCTCAAATCCTGAGTTTGTATTGGTGTTTTATTACGTTCTATTAAAGGAAACCACTTGGCTGGAGCTAGTGAGATTGTCTGTTTAGAGAAAATATTTTAGATGTTAGCTTATAATGTACTTAAAATTTAGGAAATTGCTTGCATGTGAGTGGATATATAATTTACTTCCATAAGTGACTTTCTTGTTGAAAGATGACACTGCTTGATGATATCACTGTGTGAACTAGTGGCTCAAAGTATCCTCTCCCCAGTTCTGTAAGTTGACGGGTTGTACTTACAACTTAAAATTCTGTTCATTTGAATGACACTTGATACACAAGTTCTTTGGTCTTACTACCACCTTTACTTCCCTTCTCATCCTGTACTCATTTTTCATCAAGGTTAACAATTATCATTTGAGATTGACTTATGTTTAGGTAATGAGGCTTTTCTAGCAGCATTTAATACATCATTCAAAGAACAAGTCTTAACCGAGAAGTACAGGATACCTCATTTTCAAAGTAATTTCTTTTTTATGTCCCAGTCATGAAAACTGTAAGGCAGCTTTCTCAAAGGAAGTTAACACTGATGAATCCAGTGCAGCCAGTATTTTGAATATGAGGTAATAAAATCTTTATCACATCCAGCTGGACTGTCCTGTATGTTAGTCTGAGTCTTTTGGAAGTTATTCCTTTTTATTAATTGTATGGTTGTTATGCAGCCATGGAAGGAAAAAGCTGAACATCAAAATCATCAACAATATACCTGAAAGACAAAATACAGTAAAATAAAAAAACAGTCTTTAAGGAAGTGATTAAGGAAGTTTATAATCACTAAGTGGGTATAATTTAAGATTACATACAATTATATACCTAGATGTTTGGAAAGCTATGCTTAAAGAATTGGCCACATCAATTCTATATGAAACTTGTTAGATATTTAAATCTCATATTCTTAGTTTTTCTTCAGCTGTGAATCCTTAAAAACAGTGTACATTTGGTAAAACCAATAGGATCTAAACAATGAATTCAAAGGATAAACCAAATCCAAAGATGTATAGTTTTAGTTCTGGCTCTGTTACTGACTTCCTGAGTGAGAAATTCTAGACTTGGGTCTTCATTTTCTCCTCTTTAAAATGCAACACTCTCCCTTCCCTCTGTGCCCCAGGAATGTACCTGGAGAATAAAGCAACTGAAAGCACTGAGTTTTCACTTGGAATGCTCAAATGAAAACAATGTTAGGTACTTTCTCCAGTCTCTTTTTATTAGTCTCAACCATTAACAGCTTAAACATTTTTTTTATCTCAGCCTTATTTAACTGATCATTAAATGCTTTTAGAGATGTGTCAAGCAAATAAAATACCTAAAACAAAATTTCAGTCGATGCTGGAAGTTTAAATCTTAAATACAATACAAAATTTTTGTTTGTTTTTAAGACGGTTTCGCTCTTTTGTCCAGGCTGGAGTGAAGTGGCATGATCTTGGCTCACTGCAACTTCTGCCCCTGGGTTCAAATGATTCTCCTGCCTCAGCCTCCAGAATAGCTGGGACTACAGGCACATGCCACCATGCTTGGCTAATTTTTGTATTTTTAGTAGAGATGGGGTTTCTCGATGTTGGTTTTGAACTCCTGACCTCAGGTGATCCACCTGCCTTAGCCTCCCAAAGTGCTAGGATTACAGGTGTGAGTCACTGCACCCAGCCCAAAATGTTTTGAAAATTCACATATTAGTAATCTTCATTTCTGAGATTACAACAGAGAAATCTGTCATGTAGTTGTTGGTTAATTTTTCAATGTGAAATAGGGACTGAGGAGAGTGAGCCAAGAGGTCAAGTCACTATCCTAAAAGGTAAATTTGCAGTGGTAAATTTTTCATCTTAATATGAATGTATTTAGGTTTAAAGTCCTAGGTCAGTTTAAATTCACATTACAAACAAGTTTTGTCACACACAGATTTGAAATTATGTTCTCCTATTTGTAATAACAAAAACCTTAAGATTTGGCAAGCAGTTAGATACTTTAACATATTTTTGAAATATGAGTCTGTTTGCAACCGAAGGCTTTAAGTGAGAAAAAAAAAATCAGAAACAACCTCTGTGTTAACTGACCCACAAATTTTCTCATTTTTTATAAAGTCCGAACTAGAAAATAAGACGCTACATTTAAAACTTTTTCCAAAAATGGAATTGCAGTTTCATGGAAGCAAATGGAATTTTCCAGTTTTCACAGTATGAACTGGAGAATTCTATATACTTTTTTTTTGAGACAGGGTCATACTCGCATCACTCAGGCTGGAGTGCAGTGGTGCGATCTCAGCTCACTGCAGCCTTGACTTCCCGGCTAAGGTGATTCTCCTACCTCAGACTGCAAAGTAGCTGGGACTATATGCGTGCACTACCATGCCAGGCTACATATACATCCTTATAGTCACGTTTCTAAATTTTTAAATTGGGAAGATGGCAGGGGCCATTAGAGGAATTATAATTCCTCTCATCTCTGCTGTGATGAGAAACAAGAAAGAATATGGACTATGACTCCCAAGAATAGATTGCTTCCTGCTTGGTCAAGAAGGAAAGAAGATGGATGTCTTGGGATTGCTCTTTCTTTTTTTCTTTTTTCTTTTTTTTTTTTTTGAGACAGAGTTTTGCTCGTTGCCCAGGCTGGAGTGCAATGGCATGATCTCTGCTCACCGCAACCTCTGCCTCCTGGGTTCAAGTGATTCTCCTGCCTCAGCCTTCCAAGTAACTGGGATTATAGGCATGTGCCATGAAGCCTGGCTGATTTTGTATTTTTAGTAGAGACGAGGTTTCTCTTTGTTGGTCAAGCTGGTCTCGAACTCCAAACCTCAGGTGATCCACCCACCTTGGCCTCTCAAAGTGCTGAGATTACAGGCGTAAGCCGCCGCACTCAGCTCAGCTTAAAATTTATTTTTTAGACATGTGGTTTTGCTATGTTACCCAAGATGGCCTTGAACTCCTGGGCTCAAGTAATTCTCCTATCTCAGCCTCCCAAGTAACTGGGACTATAGGCATGTGCCACTGTGCTTGTGTCCTTTTTTTTGGAGATGGAGTCTCACTGTATCGCCCAGACTAAAGTGTAATGGTGCGATTTCAGCTCACTGCAAACTCTGCCTCCTGAGTTCAAGTGATTCTTCTGCCTCAGCCTCCTGAGTAGCTGGGATTACAGGCACATACCATCACAGCTGGCTAATTTTTGTATTTCCATTGCCCAGGCTAGTCTCGAACTCCTGACTTCAGATGATCCACTCACCTTGGCCTCCCAAAGTGCTGGGATTACAGGCATGAGCCACCACATCCAGCCTGCCTAACTACTTTTTAATGTTCTTTCAAGTAATGGATGAAATAATTCCTTAACATTGCAATCCGCAACCTTTTTGGCACCAGGGACTGGTTTCCTGGAAGACAGTTTTTCCATGGACTAGGGGCATAGTTTTGGGATGAAACTGTTCTATCTCGGATCATCAGGCATTAGATTCTCATAAAGAGTGTGTAACCTAGATTGTTCACATGTTCAGTTCACAATAAAGTTCACGCTCCTGTGAGAATCTACAGTCTCTGCTGATCTGACAGGAGATGGAGCTTGTAGGCTTGACTTTGGCTCACCTGCTGTGCAGCCTGGTTTCTAACAGGCCACGGAGTGTACTGGTCTGCAGCCTGGGGGTTGGGGACCTCTGCCTTAGCCTACTGTTACAATTGTAGTTGGAGCACAGTAACAAATCATATTAATATATGTTAGTGTCCAGACATACTAGGATAATTTTTTCAGATAAAAACTACCAGTAGGCCTGCCCAATTAGTGATCTTTGTTAACTTCTTTACATTAGTGACCTTTTTAACTTCAAAATTAAAAACAGAGGAAATTTTTCTTTAAAGAAGTTATCGGAAAATACTAGCACTCTGTAGAAGTGACAAAAGGCTATATTACTAGTATTTTTTTTTTTTAGAGTTTCGCTTTGTCTCCAGGCTGGAGTACAGTGGCACAATCTTGGTTCATTACAACGTCTGCCTCCTGGGTTCAAGTGATTCTGCTGCCTCTGCCTCTCAGGTAGCTGGGACCACAGGCGCACGCCACCATGCCCAGCTAATTTTTGTATTTTTAGTAAAGACAGGGTTTCACCATGTTGGCCAGGATGGTCATGGTCTGGATCTCTTGACTTCATGATCTGCCCACCTCAGGCTTTAAAAGTGTTGGGATTACAGGTGTGAGCCACAGTGCCTGGCCATTACTAGCATTTTTTTTTTGAGATGGAGTTTTGCTCCTGTTACCCAGGCTAGTGTGCAATGGCGAGATTTCAGCTCACTGCAGCCTCCCAACTCTTGGGGCTCAAGTGATTCTCCTGCCTCAGCCTCCCGAGTAGCTGAGAATGCAGGCATGTGCCACCATGCCCAGCTAATTTTTTGTATTTTTAGTAGAGGCGGGGTTTCTCCATGTTGGTCAGGCTTGTCTTGAACTCCCGACTGCAGGTGATCCACCTGCCTCGGCCTCCCATAGTGCTGGGATTACAGGCATGAGCCACCACACCTGGCCTGCATTACTAGCATTTAAAATCAGTTTTTCTTGGATATTCTTCATGTTTAGGCCTATAGATATTACTGCGCATAAAAAACACTAAATGTGAGATAGAGGAATGGAAGGTGAACAGGAAGAATAAAGTGTGATTGACTATTGAAACCTGTTGTAGCACTTTTCCCTTGTGTGTGTGTGTGTGTTTAAACAAAATGACTAACAAGAAACAATATGCTGTTGGATAAACAGAAGAGTGAATTAGTGGAGGGCCAAGCATCTTCATATTCACTTACAGTTATGAGTTATAATCAGGCTTAAAACAGATGACTAAACAAAATCAAGAAATGCTGATAACTTTATATAAGTAATGCATAAGGGGCTGGGTGTGGTGGCTCATGCCTGTAATCCCAGTACTTTGGCAGGCCAAGGTGGGTGGATCACCTGAGTTCAGGAGTTCGAGACCAGTCTGACCAACATTGAGAAACTCTTGTCTCTGCTAAAAATACAAAATTAGCTAGGTGTGGTGGTGCATACCTATAATCCCATCTACTCAGGAGGCTGAGGCAGGAGAATCGCTTGAACCTGGGAGGCGGAGGTTGTGGTGAGCTGAGATCACACCATTAAACTCCAGCCTGAACAAGAGAGAAACTCCATCTGAAAAAAAATAAGTTAATGTATAAGGAATGTATAATATGCATAGTTTTTTGTATATTGTTTAATTTTATGTGTTATTTGACCCATCTTTATAGAGAGTTTATATATCTGTTCCGAATAGAAATAACTGGAATGTAGCCTGAGCAACATGGCAAGACGTCATCTCTACAAAATATACAAAAATTATCCAGGTGTCGTGGCATATGCCTGTCATCCCAGCTACTCAGGAGGCTGAGGCAGGAGGATTCCTTGTACCCAGGAGTTCATGCACAGTGAGCTATAATCATGCCATTGCACTCAAGCCTGGGTGACAAAGTCAGACCCTGTCTCTAAAAAGAAAAAAAAACCCAATGAAATAAAAATAACAGAAATGTAACTTGTGGATAATTTTTAAACTAAATACAGGAATTCATTGTTTCATGAGATGTTTTTCTACAAAATGAGTCAAATGAACTCAATGATACTTTATCTGGAGCTCGTAAATGTGAAAAAACAAATTTCTCTGTTGCCCAGGCTGGAGTGCAATGGCGCAATCTCGGCTCACTGCAACCTCCAACTCATGGGTTTAAGCAGTTATCTTGCCTCAGCCTCCCGAGTAGCTGGGATTACAGGTGACTGCGACAACGCCCAGCTATTTTTTTTGTATTTTTAGTAGAGACAGGGTTTCTCCATGTTGGCCAGGCTGGTCTCAAACTGCTGTCCTCACGTGATCCGCCTGTCTCGGCCTCTTGAAGTGCTGGGATTACAGGCATGAGCCACTGTGCCTGGCCTGAAAAAACAAAGATCTTTAGCAAAAAAAAAAAAAAAAAAAAAAAAAGATTATTTTTGAAGGGAAGTAAGCACTCCTTGCTTCTTTGGTACTCAGATCTCAAGCTTTCTTAAAGTGATAGCATATCTGAAACTGACTACCCATAACTAGATACTGTTTCCTTGAAGATAAAAAGATAAAAACAGTTTTAAAGGATACTACAAAAATTATTATTTCAGGCATGTTAACTACCTTTTTCATTTTCTGTTTTGTGCTTTGGAAATTGACATGTTACTATGATATGCACATATTATATTTTAAAATACTCTGATCTTTCAGACATATTAAATAAAAATATGCTTACCTAAAAAAGGAGCCAGCCAGTATACAATAAAAAACTGAGGGAATGCTTCATCAAAACACATGAAATGTAGCGAAAGTGCCAAAGCTGGATTAAATACAGCTCCTGTTAGACTTCCTCCTGTAATACATTTTAAGCAGAGTGATTCAAAATGATTTATCTTACATTTTCTTTTAACTGGAAGTAAATGGTTACTAAATGTGACTTTTATTTTAGGTACTCTTAGTCTGTGATCTTCCTTTGCAGAATCACCTGGCATATTATAGAGTATAATATATTATAACATGCCAGGTATAAAAAAAGACAAAGGACATTGAAGTTTGAACCCAGTGCTTTTCCTATAGACAATAAAATGGACATTGAAAGTTAATGTGCTCTATTATTGTTCCTACCACTTTATAAAATAGATTTGGCTGCCCTGAACATTCATCAATTTAAATGAATGAATAATAATAAAGTAAAATGAAAATACAGTTAAATAGATACAATGTCCTAGGATCCTCTTGGGTATAAGCATACTTTTATATTGAAAAGAAAAGGTAAAATGGACCAGTGGACCAAAGCTTTACCATTGGTTCCATTTTTACTTGTCAACAGAGCCCTTAAGAAGTGACCGTGAGTAGTCATGAGAGAGAAGCAAAATAGTAACTGTTGGCTACTTTTTAGGATTCATGTTCCAGTTCTGCACCCAGGATATCTCTCTGACATGGGGCCTAGGAGTCTATAGTCTGTCCACACAAGGAAGGAATGGCAGAGGAGGCTGGATGTCTTTCCAGCAGTACTCCCCAGAGCTGTGTCTTTGCTTTTCAAAGTCCAGCCTAAGAGCATCCCTCAGACAGTGACATTTTCAGCAGTTTTTTCCAAGTGGAAGCTTAGGCACACACCCTTGCCTCTTTTACTTAGCCATAGAGATAGATCCTGAGATCTTCACAAGTTTTATTATTGACATGCACCACTGTAGCCTGTTTTCATGGAAATTAAGTGGCCCTTTTATAAGATTTCACTACTGAGATTTCACACTTGAATAGGCCGAGAACAATGAAGCTGTGTTGAGATGAAGACATTGAGCAAATGAACTAAGCTCACTCAATAGCTAAGAGTCTTTCTAGCATCCCAGCCTTACAGCATGATTCATATTTATGAGTCAGCAATTATAAATGATATCATGAACCTTTGGAATCATTCTTGAATAGTCAAATCCAGGAATGTTAAACCTGTAACAGCTAAGGGTGAACAGAATTGTCTGGCAGCTAGTAATTTCAGTTTGATTTCACAAAAATTTACTCAGTTCCTGTGTACTAGACACCATGGGCAGAAAGATAAAGACTCACACAGACACTTACAATATAATGTAATATGACCTATGATAATATTAATGACCTGTGACTTTTATGCATGTATTGATAAGAATGGACTGAATCATTACCCTCAATTAATACTTCAGTATTCTAGGCCCTGGTATACTGAAGATTTTCCACTAGATCTAAGATGAACACTATCAATCAGTCTTATGCCATCCTAAAACTCAAACAGCTTCACTTCCTTATCTTCTAATCCTCACACAGCAGTTCTGCTCAGTGTGACTTAGTGGTAGCTGCTTCTCCCAGCAAGAGATTGTCTACTTTCCCTCTCTTGAAAATGAGCTGGCTTTGCAACTTGTGTTGACAGAACGCAGCAGAGGGGAGCTATGTGAATTCTGAATGTGGTAGGAGTGATGCTGTGTGAAGTCTAGGGTCACGTCTCAATAAACCCACCAGCTTCCACTTTTTGCTCTCTTGGAAGAATGCCCTGACCATGTAAGTTTGCTGGTCTAGGCTGCTAGAGGATAAGAGGCCACAAGGAAGAGAACTGAGGCATCTTAGATGACAGCTGACAATTGCCAGACATATGAGTGAGGCTACCTTGGGCTTTCCAGCCTCACCACTGTCCAGGTGAATGTAACTACGTGAGTGATCTCAGGGATCTGCCTGTCTGTAACCCACAGAATCATGAAAAATAAGTTCTTCTCTTAAGTTTTGGGGTCAGGCATGGTGACTCATGCCTGTAATCCTAACGCCTTAGAAGGCTGAGGCGGGTGGATCACTTGAGCCCAGGAGTTTGTGACAAGCTCGGGCAACATAGCAAAACCTCATTTCCTTTTTTTTTTTCAGTCTCCGTAGAGACTGTCAAAAATTGCCAATGCTGACTATATTTCAAGTCGTCATCACGGGGTATTGGGAAAAGTTTTCAGTTAGCAGTAATCGCACCTCAGATAAACCTGATTGGCTACAATACTGCCACTGCACAAAGCTGCAAAACATCAATTCTATAAGAAATACAAAAATTAACTGGGTGTGGTGCCATATGATCTCAGCAATTTGGGAGGCTAAGGCAGGAGAATCACCTGAGCCTGTGGAGGCTGAGACTGCAGTGAGCTGAGATTCTGCCACTGCTCTCCAGCCTGGGTGACAGAGTGAGACCCTGTCTCAAAAGAAAAAAAAAAAAAAAAGTTTTGAATGGTTACACGACAATAGTTAACTGATAGAGAAATCCATGTCAGGTATGGGTTCTGTGTTAACAATAGCCAAAAACACGGCATTGGCTTTAATGTCTTACAGGATGATTCTTTGTTGGGCTGTCCTGTGCACCGTAGTATGTTGAGGAGCATCCCTGGCCTCTACCCAGATGGCAGTAGCTCACTCTCTCTCCCCATATTGTAACCACCAAAAATGTCCCCTGGGAGGAAACTCCCCAGTTGAGAATTACTGTCCTTGAGAAACACTGGTGTTTGTGTATGAGAAGACATATAGAAGGTAGTTTATTATAGCAAAGAACTAGGAAAAAACCTAAATGTTCATTCATAGGGAAATAGCCCTAAACAAAGTTACTATTATTTTGGAATATCATGCAGTATTTTGAAATAATGAGAGAAATCTCTTTACTACCATAGGTAGATATCCAAGATGTATCATTGAACGACTACCACCAAAAAAAGCAAACTGTTTCCTCATCCTGTATTTTCTGTCATAAATGACCCATGACTGTGTCCGGCCCTTCCTCCAGTATATATCTCCAAACGCTTATCTGCATTCCACAACTACCCCAACTATTTGTGTAACCACTTGCCCCTTGAAGGACATCCAGATAGTTGTTTCCAGCTTTTGGCTATGAGGAATAAGCCTGCTGAGTAAGGTATGATACTTTTTATGTTAACACAAGTATACAAATATTCAATATATATAATAATATATAATTCCTGCAGGGTCTTATCTATATGTATAATAAATGCACATAAAAAGAGTTTGGGCCTGGGTGTGATGGCTAGTGCCTGTAGTCCCAGCACTTTGGGAGGCCAAGATGGGCAGATCACGAATCCAGGAGTTGGGGACTAGCCTGAGCAACATAGCATAACTTCCGTCTCTACAAAAAATACAAAAATTGGCTGGGTGTGGTGGCATGTACCTGTGGTCCGAGCTACTGGGGATGCTGAGGTGGGAGGATCCTGTGAGCTCAGGTGGCAGAAGTTGCAGTGAGCCATGATGCACCACTGCACTCCAGCCTGGGTGATAGAGTAAAGCCCTGTCTCAAAAAAAAAAAAAAAAAACAACAGTTTGGGGCTGGGCATGGTGGCTCATGCCTGTAATCCCAGCGCTTTGGGAGGCCGAGGCTGGGGGATCATTTGAGGTCAGGAGTTCAAGATCAGCCTGAAACCCCGTCTCTACTAAAAATACCAAAATTAGCCAGGGGTGGTGGTGGGTGCCTGTAACCCCAGCTAGTCAGAAGCCTGAAGCAGGAGAATCACTTGAACCTGTGAGACAGAGGTTGCGGTGAGCAGAGATCCCACCACTGCGCTCTAGCGTAAACTCCACTTTTCATTTCTGGTTTGTATTCCATTGATATGCTAATGTTACTAAGCTAGCTAGCACTTGTTCTGGGTGACAGAACAAGACTCCATCTCAAAAAAAAAAAAAAAAAAGTTTGGAAGGATGTAACACAAACATTAGAGACAAGGATTACCCTGATGGGAAGAGTAGGCAGAGAAGGAGAGGAGATAGGCATGGAGGCATGGAAGATGGCAGTCAAAAGACACTTTAGTGTTTGAACTTTTTACATAGAGAATATAACATGCATTGGATAATTAAACATGAATTATTTTTTAAAGAATCATCAGGGATAGAACTATCAAAAGATGGCTTTGAAAAACAGGTTACTGTTTATTGACATTTGAAGCAGAAATGACAATTGTGCATATTGAAGAAGAGGTATAACTGGGAGATCCAGCTAGTCAACTGCCAAGAGTCAGAGACAGTATGAATTTGGTGAAATTACCACATCCAGAGGCTAAGTCTCAAATCTGGCAATTTTAGGTACTAAAGTTTCTCAACATTCCTAAAGGGAATAAAATTCTCTGTGACAGAAGAATACTAGTTAAAATCCCATAACACCGACGTAGAAGGTGGAAGATCACTTTATTAATTTATAGTTGAAGCTAGCTTTCTAGTGACCGGAATATTTGTCTTCCCTCTCCAGAGCACCCATTTTAATGAGCATGGAAGCAAAGCAAAAGGAGTGTTATCAGACCACGATAAGCTCTGATAAAATGTCATTGTCTAGAGTTGAAAATACCTCTCTAATGACAAGGTTGCTTGTTTTCCCCTAATTCAATCTCTATCCCTGGACATAATAATTTCAAAGTTTGCATCTCCAAACTCCACTTTTCATTTCTGGTTTGTATTCCATTGATATGCTAATGTTACTAAGCTAGCTAGCTAGCTTGCTGTTTTCTTTTCTTTTTTTTTTTTTTTTTGAGACAGATTCTTGCTCTGTCACCCAGCGTGGAATGTGGAATGCAGTGGTGCAACCTTAGCTCACTGCAACCTCCACCTCCCCAGTTCAAGTGATTCTCATTCCTCAGCTTCCTGAGTAGCTGGGACTACAGGCACGAGCCACCATGCCCAACTAATTTCTGTATTTTAAATACAGACTGGGTTTTGCCATGTTGGCCAGGCTGGTCTCGAACTCCTGGCCTCAAGCAATCAGCCCACCTCAGCCTTCCAAAGTGCTTGGATTACAGGCGTGATCCATTGTGCCTGGCCTGTTTTCAAATTAGTTGTTATGCTTATAGACCTAGAAGAATGACG